TATATATATATATATATATATATATATATGTGTGTGTGTGTGAACATGAATGATGAATAATGTAATATGAGTAATATGTAAGATGTGAAACTATGGAGTCACGTGAATGTAATGCATACAGTCTGTTTAACATGCATCATAGTCATTAAAATGTTTTTTAAGGGCAAGATATGGAATAAACTACTAGGGAAGGTCCCTTGTGTAAAAGCTTGGAAACCTACCTTGAGGATAGTTTGGTTTCACTCATTAGCACTAGTATTCTTTGTTCAGCCACTTCTGGCTCTCAGTGAGTATTATCGACCACCTCCTAGCTTGTCAACTTCACTCATTAGCGTTAGTATTCTTTATTCAGTCACTTCTGGCTCGCAGTTAGTATTCTTTGACAAGTCTCTCCAAGCTTTACAAGTATTATTTCCCTAGCCTCTTCAGGCTTTACAAATGAATGATAGATGATTTGGTTTGAGTGTTTGGTTTACTCTCACAGAGAGGATACAAATATTTTATACACTCACTAAGGTGCATGTTCCTAATTTACACTTAGAACTCCTTAGTCTACAAAGATAAATACAAAACTTGTACATTTGACTGTATACGCTCTGTCTCTAGTTTCATTACTTCATGGGCTAGATATCACTCTTTGTCTATCTTTGCCAACCTTTCAAGGTTTGAAGTCGTGATATATATATAGTCTTGTAAAATATGTCCGTTACAAGTGTTCGTTGAAGCGGATGTAGTCGTTTATGACTAGTTCGATCTTCTCATTTAATGCATAAGATCTTGCATTAAATGTTGTTTCCTATTTATAGACATTGCGTGAAGTCTTCTTTGTTTTTTTAGCAATAGTGTCCGACTTTAGCTAAGACCTATGAACTTTTTGTCATTTTCCAGTCGCGTAGCTGTAGAGCGTTGTCCTTTTCTGAAAAAAATAATGTACTTTTTCTAACACATGCATGCTTTTACTTTTGGCGTGTTTTTCTTCTTCTTCTTCTTCTCTTCCTTTAATCACGCGATCATATTAAGAGCTTTTAAATGATCATAAACGATGCCTGAGTTGTCTTTTGAGACTTGATTCTTCAAATACTTGTATGGTAGTCTTCGTTTGCGTCTGGTAGTCCATTTGCATCTCAAGTCTTGATCTTCGTCTGAGCATTTGTCTTTAATGCTTTGACTTTCTATGGTCTGGTCAATTATTGTTAATGGACAGACTTTGTTTCCGTCTGGAATACTTTTCAGTCTATATTGTCCTTCGTCTGATATGTTGTTGACTTTCTTCTACTCTTTGACCAGCCTTCGTCTGAGTTCTTATATAGCGTTCTAGGTTGTCCTTGACACACCTTCGTCTGATATTTGATTTATCATCGTCTGGCGCACATGTTATATTCCATCTATCATTTGACGCTCAATTTCCTCTATCATTTGTTCCGTCTATTATTTGGCTTTGTTTCGTCTGATCCTTGAAGCTTTCGTCTTGTTCTTGATTTAGTCTTGTTTAATGCTAGTTTTGGCCTTTCATTTGATACTTCAAGACTTCGACTGGTAGTATGCTTCGTCTTATATTTGTTATCTTTTCGTCTGGCTTGAAGCTTTTCTTCCTTTCTCTTGGCACATGCACATACTCTATTCTTCAACTTTCTTGTACTTATATTTTTCTTAAACACTAACATACTTGTTAGAAATAACAACGTGTATTATATTTGTCTCATTCAAAACTTTACTGAGAATTGTTTCGTCTGACTTAACAGTCCTTACCAAACCCTTATTAAATGTCCATTGCATACTACATTATAATGCATCTGTTATTGTTTAATATGTTATGACTGAATAAGTGTGATGATAATATTTATTTGTATATGTTATACCTTGGTGTATACCTTGGTTGTATTTGGCTATTTGATTTGCTTTCCTACATTGTGAGGCTGAGTGAGACGTTTCATACTCCTTTTCTTTTGTGTTGTTTTTCTTAGGTTATTATGAAGGTGTCATCAATTAACATGAGATTGAAAGTGTTGGTGATGAGGCTTAGACTTCAATGTTGAGTTTTACTCTAATAGAACATGTGACATTTTAGTGTAACTATGACTAGTTTAGGACTTTGTTTTTGTTGATTCAATTGGAAAACATCAGTTTTTAGTTTCTTTGTAATTTTTTTCATTTATGTTATGTTATTTGTTTAAGTTACAATGTAATTTTTTCTACTTGTAAAGATTTTAAGTTATTTTATTATGTTGAGGTTATTTAGTTTTTATAATTTTATATATTATGGCATGTGAGGTAAAAGATATCATATTAGGATAAATTTATTGTTATTAATTAAATTAATTATTATTTTTCTTAATGTTGATGAATTTGGTAATTAGGTGATATATATATAAAAAAAAAGAAGGTGGTAACTTTATATTTATCTATATATTTTGTTTTAGTCGCTATTCATGTATATTTTTTTATATTTTTTTAAAATTATAATTTCATAGTTTTTAAAAAGTAATTGTTAATAATTAAAAACAACTTTAATTTATAATTTAAATGGCTCAACATAAATTTAAAATGCCACTTGTATATTTTAATATATTTTTATTATATATTCTCATTATTTATAAAATATTTAGTGTGTAAAATGCATTAACTAAAAGTCTAAAACTAATTAGATGCATACAAAGAAAAAAAAAAGGAAATAATTTTTTGTTGAATAATAGATCATTGTACCTTGAAAAGAATATGAATAATATGGTGAGTGGACAACTTTTTCAAGAAGAAAAGAAAATCACACGGTTTCTCAACTTTCTTTGTATTTTTGCGGATATTGAAAAATATGAAACCCGTTAAATTCTCTATCTCTTCTGTGTTTTTCATTTAAAGTTTTAAACTAAACATGGAAGATTCTCCTTGTCTCTTTCTAATTTCTTTATTTTTTTATTCACTAGGACGAGCATTAAATATTTCTCGCTAAAAACCTCTAATCAGTTAAAAGAGTAAGTATTAAATGATTCTTAAGTATATTTTTGGTTTATGTAAATATTATTTATCTTATTTTAGTTTTTGTGAAATTTTTAGTTAAATTTAGATCCTTAAAATCCTCCTAGTGTTCCTTTTTTAAGTCTTTATTATTGACTTTAGTTAATTTAGTACTAAAATAATTAATAAAATATAGAACATTGATTAAGATAATTAAGATAATAAATAATATTTTAAATTGAGATAATTAAATTATTTTTATGACAATTTAATTAAATGATATATTTAATATTTTATATAAACAAGATAATTACATATGTTTAGAATTGTTTTTACAATATTAAAAAATTAACAAATTGAAAAGTAAGAATAAAATTGAAAGTAATGAAAATTAATTATTAATAAAAAAGAATAAAATTAAATGTAATTAAAACCACTATTCATAGTATAAAAAATAAAACATACTCCTATATATTAAACATGAATATTTATCTCATGCAATAGTATTTTTAGAGACTTTTCTTGTAAGATATGACTCAAAATGAGAGAGCTTTTTCCTTTTTTTTTTTTCCTTTCTCTTCTCCCTTTCATTTTCCTCACTATTTTTCACAGCTGATCACTAAAAGAGGGTGAGGAAGTCTGAGTTTCGAGGTTGGGGAATTTCAAGTATAAGATTGTCTTCTCTTTCTCCTCTTCTACCTTAGAGTTCTTCGTTCTTTTCTTCTTCTTCTTTGAAAAGCTTGGCATCAAGGTAAGGGAAACTAGAATCTTGGATTTTGTTAAAATGTTGGGTTGTTGAATGAATTAAGAACTTGAAATCAATAGGATTTTCTAAAAATTGTAGCTTTGGGGATGGATTTGAAATTGTCTGCATGTGGAAACTGAAATATTGATGTTCTTGATGCTCCTTTTGAAGTTTTGATGCATGCATGTTGAAATTTTTGGGGTTTTTGGGTTTCCTAAACAAGTCTAGTAGAGATTGTGAGTGTAGATCATGTTTAGGAGGAAAATTGGTGAAATGTAGGTGAGGAATAAAGCGGGGAAGCCATGAAAGTGCAGAAAATTCTGCACTCAATGCTGTAACACTATTCAAGTGCTGCAACTATGGGAAAAATTGAGCTGGTAGAGATCTAGCACTATAGGGTTGAGTTGAGAATTGCAACCTTGGGAGGAACTAATTTGGCAGAGATCTAGAGTTGCAACGCTGATTTAAGCGCTGCAACCCTAGAAGAAAACAAAGCTAGCAGAAATCTAACGCTAGAGTGCTGAATTGAGCGTTGTAGCGTCGAGAGTAGATGATCAAATTTGGTCTTTAAGTCTTCATAAAAGTTGTAGCCTTGGATATTAGCTTTTCAATAACATTAGAATCACTTAAAAAAGAGGTATATAACTCCATTTATGACCTTTTTAGTGAGCAAAGATCAAGCTGTCAACATTTAGGCAAACTTTTATAATTTTTACAATTTTTAACATGGTAGATGAGGGAATTAGAACCTGAGTTCTTCATGAAAGTTATAAAAAAACTTTTTGTCTTTCATATGAGACAAGGATGAGAATGATAGGAGTAGTAGAACTCCTTATGTGTTGTTGTATGTGAAGGTTGTCATTGTAGGCTAAGTGATTTTACTAAGATGTATGTTGGTACATGTTGTATGATGGGTGAATTTGGTGAACATGAATAGAATAATTGTGTTTATTGTATGTTGTGTGATGTAGGATGATGATAATAAGGATTGAAATTCTATCTTTTTGTAGTTGAAATGATGATGAACATTGGTATGCTGTATATGATTGATATGTTATGTTTGAATAAACTATGGAGCATTGATATGTTATTATGGTATGAATTGTTAAGTATTGCTATTAAAATAATTACATTAAAACATTCAAATAATTATTAATATATTCTTAATTTAATTTATGAAAGTTAGGGTATTACACCTTTGTTAGAAAGAATTCTTTTACAAACGTTCTTGAGCAAGTAGTTGGTTGTAATATATAGGGGTGAATTTTCTTCTATTTTTCTTAAAAATAATTAAATAATTGCAACTCATTTTTTTAACAATGGATCAATTGGTAGGAAATTATTTCAAATTCATCAATAATCTCGAGTTTGAATTCTTATTATGCAAATGCGATCGATACATGTAGATTGTGATTCATACAAAAAAGAATGGTTTAAATATATTTTTAATCCCTACAAAATGAACAAGTTTTAATTTTCATCCCTGTAAAATTTTTTCTTTACTTTTCATTCTATAAAATTTTGTAAATATAATTTTTAATTCATGTAAAATAAGCACAAACATATTTTTTTAGAGACTAAAACCAAATTTCACTTATTTTACATAACTTAAAAACATATTTATTTTTTAAAAAAAACTATCACTTTTTTGTCTTTAATTTTCTTTCATTCATAGATTAAATAAAAATATTATATGAATTGAAAAAAAAAACCAAACAAAAAAAATTAAATTAAGAAAGAGTGACTAAAGAGATGGGCTAGAAAAAAAAATGAAGAAAGAAGTGAATAAAAAAAATAAATTTAAAAAAAAATCTTAAAATAGAAAATCAATTAAAAGGATATTTTAGATTTAAAAAAAAAAAGGAATAACAGGAGTATTTATAAAAAGTAAGAAGTGTATAAGATTCACATTCAATACCCAATTTTTATTTTTTATATCCATCATGGATGTACTTATACCAAACTAGATTATAATACATGATCAATTCCCACTTTGCGATTACATTATTTTTAAAATTTGTTTTTAATATATATAGTTTATTTATTTTACTTTTTAGTTTTAATAGTTTAAAATAAATTTTTAAAACTTTTTTTAATCCTTTTTAATTTTTACCAATAATTTTTTTTATAAAATTATTTTTGTACGAGTGACACTAGACAAAAATGTGTCATTTAATAATTTATTAGGTAATTATTAACAATTTGACGACTTTTATTTAATTATAGTAAATATGAATAATCCACAAAACTAAATACATTATCATCACATAAATTTAATAAATCTTTGTCACTCACATAAAAATAATATTAAAAAAGTTAATAATCAAAACTAAGAATAATAATAAAAAAAATATATATAAAACAACTATTTTAAATTATAAAATTAAAAAATAAAATCAAGAAAAATATAGCAACTATAAAAAAATATTTTAATCTTAAATTATAAAATTCCATAAAAACATAAAACATTACACTGTTAACCTTATTCCCCTTAGCTGTTAAATCAAATTTCACAAACTCCCCCAAAAGACAAAAGTACAACCACATCATATTCTCTCTCTCTCTCTCTCTTCGTGGTGTTCTTCTTCTTTTCAATTTCAATGGATCGAACCCAAATTCTCCTGGTTGGGTTACCAATCTTTCTCTTCTGTTCAGACATTCTCAACCTCTTCGCTCCTCCACCCCCTCCCAAACCAACCCATCACCCTTCCGTCCACCCCAAACCACACCCTCAATCGCAAATTCGCCAACCCCTCGATTTCCCCGCCCAGGTTTCTCGATTACCCTTTTCAAAATTTACGATTTTGCGTCCCTTTCTCATGCCAATTTCTTTTCTTTTCATCTGGGGTTCTCTTAATCATTTTTCCCCTTTTCAATTTTACGCAGAAACAGAATGGGATTGGCCCAATTGGGGTTGGCAACACTGTCAGCATTGACTTCTGCACTTCCTGCTCTTACAAGTTTGTCCAATTTCTCACTTTTTTAATTCTGACTTAATTGTTTAATTAACTTGTGTGTCTGTCTGGTTGGAACAGTTAGGTGAAATTGTTGTAGTATTAGGTTGGTATCAACTTGTTTTTGTTATTATTTCATTGGGTTCAGTTAGAAAAGGAAATGATGGACTAGGAAAATAAACAAAAGAAAATTGGATTATTGAAAACGTTACTTGTGTTTGTGTGGCTGATGATGAAGTAAACAAATGTTATGCATATTTAAATTGCTGCTTGTGTTAGTTATTAGTTTAAATCACAACATCTATTGCCATTGTCAGAGCTATTTAATCAATGGTTATTTATACTAATAGATGGAAAGCGTGTTTTGTTTTCCTTTTAATATGTTGATGTATATTATGAACTTCTTTGGATATAAGATTAGAAGAACTTTTCTACAGAATTAAGTAGTTTTTTTTTAAAAAAAATGAGCTTGCAAGCTCTTTTAAGCTGGTATTAATTATTAAGAGAGACTCTATTTTAGTTCTTGCTTTTTTATTTTGTGAGATTGTATTGTTTGGTAAATGGTCAACTCCTCCATTAGTGATTAGTCCTGTTTATAATTTTGAGTAATTTACTCTTCCCTCCTTTGAAAGAAGCTTAAGTTTAGCTTCTCTTGCTTAGTTTTAAAATTAGTTACCCCTCCCTTAGGAAATTAGTATGTGCTATATTTAAGGGTTTTTTTTTTTTAAGTGAATGGGTCTATTAGTGGTAGTGAAGTGAACAACTATGACCGAGTCTGCTAGGAGTGTTTTCTTCTCTCAGAAACTTCTAAAGTTTTATTGATAACTAATTTTAAATCTTGTATCAATGGCTTTAGGACTTTTGTAGATGAAATGATGTTTTAAATATTCATACAATCTGCTTTAGAATTTCACACTTATAATCTTTATTTCTTCTTTTAAAGTTTCAAAATTGATGAGGTTCAAAACTAGTTGCCAAAAATGCTAAGAGTCACCACTAACAACATCAAAAGCCTTATCCCACTTTGTGAGGTTGACAAATGGATCGTTGGACACCATTTGACTCTGTTAAAGACCAAATTTTCATATAGATATTATTTACTATGAGATTCCTGCTTAATAACTTCCTCAATGTCTTTCTTGGTCTCCCTCTCTCCCTTTTCATAGGTTTGAAAATTTGAAAACCATGTAATCTACTCTCCTTATTGGTGCTTGTAGTAGCTTTCTTTATACGTGTTCAAACCACCTTAATTGATTTACTATCATCTTTTCCTCAATTTCGATGCTACACCAACCAGAGAAAAGTTGATCCTTAGAAGCTTGTTTGCACTAAGGAGTTGTTTGGTACATGGAAACTTTTTACTTTCTCATGAAGAGTAATGCTATTAACTCACTCTCTAAAACTCTACACTCTCCTCTTAATACACTCTCTTATTGGTTAAAATTTATTGAAAATCACAAAATCAAGAGAGAGATAGTGAGCCATTAAATAGGGTGTGAGACTTACCTACTTTTGTGTTTTCTAATAAATTTCAATCAATTAAAAAAAGTGTGTTAGAGAGTGTGATCCTAGCATTTCTCTTCTCAGGAATCTGAAGTTGAGAATGTTAGTTTCTGTTTGGTTTGTTATTTAAAAAATAACATTCCTAGGAAACATTATTTTCTAGGAATGGTTTTTACATAGGTTTCTCATAGAATTGTTGATGGAATACTACCTCTTCCATATTGTTGAAGATGCTTCCATGAATTGTTTCCATTGGAGAGGTGGGAAACTAACATTTCTAAGTTTAAAAGAAAGTTTTAATGTGGTAAAAGCATCATGTTACTTTTATTTGTTTATTTAATGTAGTAAAAATCTTTGATTTTTTGGTAACATTTATAAACGTTCCCAAAAACATTTATGACCAATCAAACAGATTTTCATCATTCCAAGAAATCATGACTCCCATGATTTATGATTTCCATGAATGAAATTTTTTTCCATATATCAAACACCGCCTAAAATTAATTTAAGTGTAGCGCATTTAATCTCTTTGGGAGAGGAATGTAATCCTTAAATTGGAGGGGAGGGCATTATAGTTTAAGCCTTTTAAGGAGAGGGGAGTGTGCTTTATTCTAAAAGTTTCCACTGTTGGTGCCAAAGAGTTATATTGGTGGTAATACTGATCTTTCTATAACAGTATTAAAATTTAAATAGTTATAACTTTTAACTAGTAAATTTTCAGAAATTGGGCAGACTTTGCTTGTTCTAGCTGTATTCATCCTTAATTTGTTTCAATTGTAGAATCCACATGTTCACAAGTAGAACAAACCATAATGTATCTTGTGTAATTTTCATGCCTTTTTCTGCAGGGGAAATGCAGTAGCAGTCAAAAACATGCTGGAATCTGAATTTCCTGGGATTAATGTTGCGTTGGCTAATTATCCACCTCCACTTCCTAAGCGTATTCTCAGCAAAGTAGTTCCAGTGGTGCAAACAGGTGTTATTGTAGCTATAGTTGCCGGTGACCAAATATTCCCTAGATTGGGAATGACGCCACCACCATGGTACTTTTCCTTGCGTGCCAATAAGTTTAGAAGCATTGCAAGCACTTGGCTTCTTACAAATTTTCTCCAATCCTTCCTACAAAGCTCTGGTGCTTTTGAAGTATATTGCAATGGTGAATTGGTAAGTCCTTGGTTTGTTGTAGCAATTAATTTACATACTGCCTGGGTCAAAGGAGGGGAGGGTCCCCTTGTTTGGTTTGGTTCAAGGAATGGAAGAGTTCCCTTGTTTGGTTTTGCCATGGGAGAGAAGGGAAAATAAGATTTCTAGACACTTTAGTCATCACATTTTCAAAATTATAAATCACTTTTATCTCCTAGAAAGTCCTTCCAATATTATAAGGAAAAAATGAGATGGAACTATGTAAGAGATTTTGGTCTTCTCATTTTCTCTCCTCTTCCCTCCAAATTTCTAAACCAAACAAGGTAAATTTAAAATTTCCCTTCATCCCCTCCATTCCCTTCCGAAAAAACACTATAAAAGCTACATCAGTTAGGAATTTTTTTAATAGCTACTTTTCTCTCCTTTTCTTTAATGAAATTTAAGTTTCATATTTTTTTAGAGCTATTCTCAAAATTTATTTTGTCCAGCTTTTCATTTTAAAAAAGGAATATAAGCCAAAAAAAAAAAAATTGACTCTCTCTGCGTTTTATTGATGATGGTGTTTACATCTATAACTGCTAGGCTGAATCTCTTCAACTTCCAAGTCATATGGATCTTTTGAAGCATTAAACATCAGAACATATTATTGCACCTCTTTTACCTTAACATTTGAATACTTTTCATGACTTGATGATCATCTTGTTCCTTTGGACATCACAGGTTTTCTCCAAGTTGAAAGAGAACAGATTCCCTGGTGAAATTGAGTTGAGGGAACTTGTAGGGAGAAGATTAGCCAATACAAGATTTGTAAGTGGTATTGAAGGTGGTGTTGGGCTCTAGAACCCTCAAATAGCTGATTGCAAGATTTACCAAATATTAATTAATTTGAAGTTAGAAGACCCTGAGGAAGATACATGACACAAATTGAAGCCTACGAAATGGATGTTTAAGAATCACAATTTTATAGTTAGTGTTTGTGTAATCTGTTATGTACACGGTTAGGTAAGCTAGTGAATATTGAATAAGCATGTTTCTTAAGTTCTCACTTTTGATTTTTTAAGCCTCTTTCTTTCTGATGCTAAACTTGGATTTCATAAATAAATTATTCCTCTATTGAGAAACATCAACAAACTAAACTGGTGGTTCCAACTAAGTTCAAAAGGCAAAAGTTTTAAAATCACTTTTGAGTTCAGATATAGCCATTTGTGCAGTGTCTGAAAGATCCGGTTTTATAACTATCATTACTCTTAAAAATATGTATTACACAGAAGACTATATAGACATGGAAAAGAAAATGGCCCGCCATTTGTTTGAAAAAAATCTTTAAAAAAATTATCTTTTTAATAAAATAAATAGAATTATATCATTTTAAGTATTTGTTGTCTAAACTGTTTTTTTAGGTCATTTTGGATCAGTCTTAAAAATGTGTATTACACAGAAGGCTAGATACACATGGAAAAATGATGTGCCCGGTTAGTAGTTTTCTGTTTTATTAAGATGTGATTTTTATTTTTTGTTAAGAATTTTCTTTAAATTACTTTTTTAGAAATATTTTCAAAAATTTTAAACAAACCAGCTCATTACGTGTCTGCATAACTCATTTATGTATGATATATATATATATATATATATATAACCCCAACTTGTTGGGTGCCTTTCTTTTAAAATTTCACAATTTTTTATTTTTTATTTTAATGAGGTGTCATCTTTTAAGCGGTTGTGTTTATGAGTAAGTTCCGATAATCACACCTAGGCATTATAACAAAACTCGTACATGTAGATATTCATATGATCTGAATCCAATTTTACAGGCACATCTAATAAGTTAGTGTTTATTCCTCTCAAACACAAACAACTTATCCTCATAGTTAGGCCTGAGCATCGGTCGGCCATGGCCGGTTTCGAACCAAAATTCTTAAAATTATCTGAAATCGATTAGAAAAATCAAGGGCTATTTCTGACCGACGAAGAACTCGGGTTTTTGGTGGGTTCAATCTGTGCGGGTTACGGGTTCATCAGTTGGGTTCATCAGTTTGAGAAGTTTCCTCTAGCGTCTCGTGCCGCTCTTGGCAACGGTCCCCATGGGAGCGGGTAATAGTAAATTCGCCCCTGTCCCGATAGATAAAAATTGTCTCCATACCCATCCCATATCCGTGCGGGTATCCATTGAGCGTGTATCCATGAATTTCTTGAATATCCACAAATATCCATGGATATTTATAAATTTTTTAAGAAATTAAAAAAATTATATTACAAATAATTTTAAGTCTATATTTAATGTCATTGAAATATTAAAAATAAAAATTCAATGTTAATTTTGAACTTGTATTTAACGTTAATTTTGTTGAAATAATAATAAAAATATAAGATAATCAATGACTTAAAATACATCAATCTCACAAGTAAGTTAAAGTCTCATTACAAAGCTACAATAATTCAATTTCATAATTCCAATCGAAAGTAAACAACTTAAAATACATAAATTTTATTGGTCCAATCAAAGCTAGAAAATTAATCAAATTATATCCAACATAATTCTATAACATGTTTAACACATGTTTGTAACTTCATCAACCTCACTTTTGTAAGAAAATAAGACGAGAGAGTGTAGTTTTAGGGTTATGTTGTACAAGAATAATTAGGATATTTAAGAAATATTATTGAACGGGTACTCGTGGGTATGGATATCATCATACCCGCCCCCGCCCCATTTATAAACGGGTAAAAAATTATTCGTCCCCATTATCCGCGGGTATCCAATTAGCCTATCCATTTATTATCCGTAACGGATTTTACCCGCAGATACTCGCGGGTGTGGGTATTTTTGCCATCCCTAGTCTCGTGCCGCCCTCCATTATCACCCTTCGCCGGTCTCCGTCACTACTTCATTGTGGGAAAACTGTTGAGTTTCAAATCTCCGCATCACCACCCTCGTCAACCAGAGCAAGGAACAGGGGGCTTCTTAGCGACGGTGGCCATGGTAGGTAAAGGTTGAAGAGAAGAGGATGTTTATGGAGTGAAATAGAAGAAGAAGAAGAAGAAGAAAGAAAAAGAAGTAACAAAAGATGAAACGATGAAGACGAAGAATATAAACGGTTGGATTTGAGTTTATCGGATGAGAAAATTCTAACACCGAATCTGACCGTTCAAATCCGTTTGAACCCGAAAATTGTATCTGAAAAAATCCAAAATACTTGAGAATAATCTACTTCATCCAATCTAACCGTCGGCCTTACCGGTTTTGGATCAGCCGAAAATTTTGCCCAGGCCTACTCATAGTGTAGTAATAATTTAGCTTGATTTTATCAATTAAAAACAGGTTGTTAAACTGCTATACCCTTCCATATTTTTGTGTCAATGTTTGCCAAATATTATACATATACTTAAATTAATGATCACTAAATCAACATGTTCTAATGTCTTATAATTAACTTAAATAATTTATATAAATATTTTTAACTTAAAATTATATATTAATTTATGTGATTTATAGAGATTATATTTAGTTGTTTATATTGACTACAACTCTTTTTTAGACTTTTTTAAGATTTCTTGAATATCCACAAATATCCATGGATATTTATAAATTTTTTAAGAAATTAAAAAAATTATATTACAAATAATTTTAAGTCTATATTTAATGTCATTGAAATATTAAAAATAAAAATTCAATGTTAATTTTGAACTTGTATTTAACGTTAATTTTGTTGAAATAATAATAAAAATATAAGATAATCAATGACTTAAAATACATCAATCTCACAAGTAAGTTAAAGTCTCATTACAAAGCTACAATAATTCAATTTCATAATTCCAATCGAAAGTAAACAACTTAAAATACATAAATTTTATTGGTCCAATCAAAGCTAGAAAATTAATCAAATTATATCCAACATAATTCTATAACATGTTTAACACATGTTTGTAACTTCATCAACCTCACTTTTGTAAGAAAATAAGACGAGAGAGTGTAGTTTTAGGGTTATGTTGTACAAGAATAATTAGGATATTTAAGAAATATTATTGAACGGGTACTCGTGGGTATGGATATCATCATACCCGCCCCCGCCCCATTTATAAACGGGTAAAAAATTATTCGTCCCCATTATCCGCGGGTATCCAATTAGCCTATCCATTTATTATCCGTAACGGATTTTACCCGCAGATACTCGCGGGTGTGGGTATTTTTGCCATCCCTAGTCTCGTGCCGCCCTCCATTATCACCCTTCGCCGGTCTCCGTCACTACTTCATTGTGGGAAAACTGTTGAGTTTCAAATCTCCGCATCACCACCCTCGTCAACCAGAGCAAGGAACAGGGGGCTTCTTAGCGACGGTGGCCATGGTAGGTAAAGGTTGAAGAGAAGAGGATGTTTATGGAGTGAAATAGAAGAAGAAGAAGAAGAAGAAAGAAAAAGAAGTAACAAAAGATGAAACGATGAAGACGAAGAATATAAACGGTTGGATTTGAGTTTATCGGATGAGAAAATTCTAACACCGAATCTGACCGTTCAAATCCGTTTGAACCCGAAAATTGTATCTGAAAAAATCCAAAATACTTGAGAATAATCTACTTCATCCAATCTAACCGTCGGCCTTACCGGTTTTGGATCAGCCGAAAATTTTGCCCAGGCCTACTCATAGTGTAGTAATAATTTAGCTTGATTTTATCAATTAAAAACAGGTTGTTAAACTGCTATACCCTTCCATATTTTTGTGTCAATGTTTGCCAAATATTATACATATACTTAAATTAATGATCACTAAATCAACATGTTCTAATGTCTTATAATTAACTTAAATAATTTATATAAATATTTTTAACTTAAAATTATATATTAATTTATGTGATTTATAGAGATTATATTTAGTTGTTTATATTGACTACAACTCTTTTTTAGACTTTTTTAAGATATGATATAAATTTTATTAAAATTTATAAATATAAAATATATATGATATAAATGTTTTTTTAAAACATTTTATAGAATCTGCATCACGTGGTTAGTGATCTATTGAATTAATCTACAATTTAGTGGCCCAATACTGATATGATGACCCATGAGTCTTAAAAAACTTGCATATCCTCCTAACAACGTCCAACCAGAAACCACACCCACCAGCTCTACTCCAAGTCTAAGGAGAACTTACTCATAAAGATTATTATTATTATTATTATTTTGCAAAAGAGGGAATTCATAAAGATGATGTTCATATTTATTCACGTGCCTTTCTTTTAAAATTTCACAATTGATTTTTTATTTTTATTTTTAATTAAGTGCCACCTTTTAAATCTGTAAAGGTGACGTGTTGGAAGTTGGAACTATGTGCATATATCATTTTCTTATTGATTGGATCCAATCAAATTTAACACACCTAATCAAATTAATACTTTAACACACCTAATCAAATTAATACTTTAACACACCTAGTTAAAACACTAAAATAATGAGGATTTATTAGTGTTTTGTAACACAATCTAACAAGATAATACACTAATAATACAAGATACAAATTGTCTACCTTAAGATTTGACGGGGAAACAACAACAAAATAATATTACAAAACAAACTCAAATAGTTAAAGTAGTGAAAATAAATCCCCTAACTTGCAAGAATTTATGAGGAACAACAACCAATAAACAATAATAATAAATTACCAAAATTACACACAAAAATACTAAGATTTTAATATGGAAAACTCCTCAAAGTAAGAATAAAAATCACGAGTCGTCCAGACCAAAGAAATAATTTCATTATGATCGATAAAGAGTACAAAAGAGTCTCAATTAACGACACAAAATATTGCTAACATTCAGCCAAACAACAAAGCAATAAAGCTTACAAATAAAGAACAAGGAAGATGAAAAATCTCAAATACATAACTACAGTGCGAATTAAATATCTCCCAACTCAAACCTCGTATCAACAATCCAACTGTTCAGAATAAAGAACCAGAGATCCAGACTGTCAAATTTTCAGCCTGATCCAACGGTGAACAAATCTACAGTATTTACAGTCGTAACTTTGTGTAAAAACGAGAATAATTTTCTTTCTTCCTCTTTCTCAAAATGTTGTGTTCAAGTAACTTCTGACCCTCCCTCTTTTTTCACCTCATATACTT